TAACAATTTTATCATCCATAGAATTAGTGCCGATCTAGATATCATCAACAAAAACACATTTCTTTGGTGGAGATTCTAATCAAAAACTTATCATCAGCATACAATAACATTTTCAATTTCTTGTTTCCCGAACTCGATTTTCTTATAGCTTCGCTCTATTTCGATTCCTGTAACTTTTTGGATTTTCAGCCATACTCACATCGAAGAAACGAGAGACTTCTTCTCTAAATGTGTTAGAAACACTTTTGTTCGAGTTTCTAAAGTCATCTACAACGATGGAAGGCAATGGTTGTTTATCTGTTGTTGGAGCGCCTGACTCAGAGTTGGCCCAATGCATGTGAATTTAGGTGAAGATGGTTCTAGCGTTGTGTCGTTATTAGTGTTGATTTTGCGAATAAACATAGGGTTTCATATATGTATTACTATTTCATTTTGTGATTGTCTAGTAAATTAAGATGTGAACAGGACCTAAAACAATTGGTTTGTAAAAGTTACAAAACTACTCATTTATCTTCTGCATTGTTGTTACTGTGTGACCGAATTATCTAGTGTTGCATAATCAGTCTCTCAAATCTTGAATGTTAATTTTTGAGTTGAAGGGCTGGGATCATTTCTCTACTTCTCATATATTTGATGATTCTCAAATTAACCTATGGCTATATGTGTGTGTGTATGTGGGTGTCTATATATATATATATAAAGATGGTTTATGTAAGAACAACAAATAATTTGAAAATCGTAGAGCTAGTTTTATAGTGTGTTCCATTGATAAGCATATATTATATAAGTTTCATCAAAATATGTATATGTCAGTGTATTCACTTTATAACGTACTCTTAAAACCTTCATTTTGATACGATATTTCAAACAGTTAAATCGGAGTACTCAAATCAAAGTACGTTTGATAACTCTCATTTTGAAGTTATTTAGACTTTGTTAGTGAGCCTTTTTATTCCCCTTTAGTGTGTATTTTTTTTCCTTTATCTATTCGTTCTTTCTCTTTTTATCTATTTATTTTCATTTGGAGTTGTTGAGGATAAAAGTTTGTATTTTGATTAGTGTATGTGTATTTTTTGGAGTTGGTACACCATTGTCGCCACAGTGTCACCACTATGCGAACAGCTGCATGATTTTTTTAACACATTGGTGAAATAAGGAGCATATATGGAACAAAGTCAGCTCTGAAGTTTTCATGAAAGAAGAGAAGGTGAATACAAAGAGGATAGGACAAGTTTGAGAAGAAGACAAAGCCATGAGAGGTCCATTTCTTCCCTCTCAAGTCACTTTCACACCTTCTCTCATCTTCCACTATAAAAAGGGAGCTTGGCAATTCATTTAGAGCATGCTTAGACGTGGATTAGTAGCTGAGAAGCATCATTTTTCTTCTGCATTTTCATTTACCTTTGTGTAATTTAATTTTCTGCAATCTTACCTTATATTATGTTCTCCATTGTGGTGAGTGTGTGACCATAGTTGCAGTTCTTAGTTTAATGAAATTTATGTTTAAGCACTACTTTTCTCTCGTTATGTCTTCTATTTTAACTATTAACTACACCTCCTTTGGATGTGGGTGTAAGCCAAACCCGAGAGGTCAAAATATAACATTTGGGGTTACCACTTTTTGCTAACTTTGCAGTTTGGTCATTCAAGTTCAAGCTTTAACTCAACGTGGACAAGTCGATCACTTGTGTATGTTAATATTATATATTTGACCCAGAGATGGGCAGATTTGAAACACGGCTTGAATGATGCAAGGAGGTTTGAGAAAATCTTCAATAATCACATAGAGATATAGATTTTTGCATAATCGTACTAAGGTTCAGATGTCGGTCGAGTTGGTGTGTCATAGAGATATGTGCATCTCTCCATATTGGCGGAGCTAAGATGTTCAAGCTCTACTTAGTTAGGATGGTAAACCGAAAGTTAGCATTTATGGAAACTTTATGATAAGAGATCGTAATCACAACTCGCACGACATGGACGGACCTAGTATAATGGTTATGGTGACACTTGCCACCGTATTATTCCTCCTACGAAGGATAAAAAAAAGTTAAGTTTGTGAAAAGTGTAACTGTATTAATTTGTTGTGTGCCACCGTATGTATTTTGAAACTACAATGAGAACAAGATTTATTTGGTAGAGTTGGTTTGCAAGGCTTTTATTCCACCTCAGACCCAAGTTCGAATCATGTTAGTGACATTTTTCTTAGTCAAATGGTGTCACAGTTTAAAAAAAAATTCGTATATTTGTTTCTTATAGTCAAACGGTGTCATCGTTTGAAAAAATGTCGATGTATTTTTCTTACCGTTTGAAAAAATGTCTATGTATTTTTCTTATAGTCAAATGGTGTCACTGTTTAAAAAAAAATTGGGTCCGTCCCTATCGCACGATGTAGCTTCGAGAGGAGGAAATTGTATGGGGTCATTTTTATGGCCGGCTTCGTCAACCATTTAAGTTATAATTATACTCTCGGGGAAAGCTTATGTTACACATACCCACTTTTTATTACTTTGTTTTTTAAATCGCCAATATTCTCTCAACAACAATCAATTTTATAAAATCTAACTTCGCACCAAAAGTTCTTGGAAATCTCTTATTCTTAGTAAGACCAATTTTGGTACCTTATCATTATATTACTTGTAAGCGAACTCAATAATTGATTATATTTGCACCACTATTGTGCAACATTTTACGTGTGTTATTTTTGCTATCAATGTTGTATTTTATTGCATTCTCAGGAGTAAACCAGATACTTAAATGTTTGAGATATTACATCTAAAATATCAGAATGAAGGTTTTGGAATACACTACACAAAAATAGGACGCGAAACAGAATATTTAACATTCTTATGCAATTTTCCTTGTAAAATATATATATATATATATATATATATATATATATATATATATAG